GAAAATCTTCTGCAAAGCCAAAGAAACCATCAAGAGAGTGGGGAGACAGCCCATAAAGTGGAAAATATATTGGCCAACTGTATGTCTGATAAAAGTCTAACATCTAGAATCTACAAGGAACACAATTGTGCTGAAAAGAAAAAAATAAACAGCCCCATTACAAAGTGGGCAAAAGATATGAATAGACAGTTCTCAAAAGAAGACATATGAGCAGCCAAAAGACACATGAAAAAATGCTCAGCCTTATAGTCATCAAAGAAATGCAAATCAAAACCATACTGAGATACCACTTAACTCCAATCAGGATGGCCATCATCAATAATTCAAAAAATAACAGTTGCTGGAGAGGGTGTGGCAAAAAGGGAACACTTCTACACTGTTGGTGGGAGTGTAAACTAGTGCAACCTCTGTGGAAAACAGTGTGGCGATTCCTAAAAGTTCTAAAAATCGACCTTCCATATGACCCTGCAATCCCCCTACTGGGAATATACCCAGAAGAACTCAAACCATTCTATAAAAAAGATACTTGCACATGTATCTTTATTGCAGCATTGTTCACAATAGCAAGAACATGGAACCAACCATGCTGTCCATCAAAAGAGGACTGGATTAAGAAAAGGTGGTACATATATACAATGGAATATTATGCAGCCATAAAGAAGAACAAAATCATGAACTTTGCAGCAACCTGGATGGAATTAGATTCTATAATACTGAGTGAACTTTCACAGAAACAAAGAACTGAGTATCATGTGTTCTCACTCATAAGTGGACCATGAACAACTACTGTATACTATAAGAAAAGGATTGATAGTGGCGGGAAACTGCAGGGGGAAGGGGGGCAGGGAGGTGGGATTGACAATAGTAGAAATCTGCCTGGGGAAGGGGGGGTACATCTCATCAACAAGGGTACCTGTACAATGAATATTTGTACCCCACAGTTTTAAAATAAAAAAATTTTAAAGTTAAAAAAAAATAAATCTGCTGAAAAGCGATCTGGTTCAGGGATTTTTTTTTTTTGGTAGGCAGTTTTCTTATGACAGAGTCAATTTCCTTTGTTGTTAGTGGTCTATTTAGTGTCTCAATGTCGTCATGTTTCAACCTGGGGATGTTGTGTGATATCATAAAGGCCTCTATTTCATTCAGGTTATCAAGTTTGTTTTCACACAAGTGTGCACAGTGATCTCTGGTAATCTTTTGTATTTCTTTGGGGTCAGTTGTGATTTGATCTTTTTATTTCTGAATGTGTTTTGGGGGGCTTTTTCTCTCTTTTTCTTGGTCATTCTGGCTAGGGATTCATCAATCTTGTTAAGTCTTTCAAAGAACCAGCTTTTTGTTCTGTTGATTTTTTCTATGATATTTTTGTCTTTTAGGTCCCAAATTTGGGCTCTTATTTTGGTCATCTGGACTCTCCTGCTAAAGTTAGGGTTTTGGTGGTCTTCTTTTTCCAGCTCCTGTAGGTGATTTGTTAGGCTGTCAACTTGTGATCTTTCCATTTTCTTGATGTGTATTCATAGAGATGTAAATTCCCCTCTTTGAACTAATTTCATGGCATCCCAGATGTTGGTAAGATGTTTCTTCATTTTCATTTGTTTCCAGGTATCTTTTAATTTCTATTCTGATTTCAGTGTTGACCTAGTAGTTGTTCAACATCATGCTGTTTAGTGTCCATGTCTCTGTGGGCTTTGGGGAAATGTTGTTGATATTGATATTTATTTTTATTCCACTGTGGTCTAAAAAGGTGCCCGGCAATATTCCAACCTTATGGAACTTGGGTATGCTTGATTTGTGGCCGAGGATGTGATCAATCTTGGAGTACCTTCCATGTGGTGATGAGTAGTTCTGTGGTTGTTGGGCGGAATATTCTGTAGGGATTGAGTCCATTTGGTCAAGTGTCAAGTTTAGGTTCTGTATCTCCTTGTTGATTTTTTGCCTCAATGATATATCTAGGGCTGTGAGTGGGGTATTCAAGTCCCCTGTTATAATAGTGTTAAAAACAATATCTTTTTTTAGTTGACTTAGTAGTTACTTTAAAAATGCTGGTGCTCCTGTGTTGGGTGCATATATGTTTAGGATGGATGTTTCTTGTTGAGGATTGAACCTTTTATCATTATATAGTGTCCTTTCATATCTTTTTAAAATTTTTATAGCTTGAAGGCTGTTTTGCCTAATATTAAGATCATGACTCCTGTCTTCTTTTGAGATCCATTTGCCCAGAAACTCGTTTTCCATCCTTTAACTTTGAATCTGTGTGATTCCCTTGTGGTAAGATGAGCTTCCCAGGTGCAACAAATAATTGAGTCATAGTTTCTTATCCAGTTTGCAATCCTGTGTCTTTTCAGTGGTACACTTTGTGCATTCACATTCGGGCTGATTATTGAAATGTGATTGTATATCCCTGTCATGAGGTTCTGATAAAGTTTTTACTTTGCTAGTTTTCTTTTAGCTTTGGGGTTGACGTAAGTGTGTTTTCAAGTTTGTTGTGGTGATGTATTCTCTACTGATTCTGTGCTCTACTGTTCTCTTGGGAAGTGTGTGGTCATTCTTTTTATTCTTTCTTCTATGCTTAATACCTTTTTAAGTATCTACTGCAGAGTTGGTCTGAAAAATGAATAATCTCTTAGGGCTTTCCCCATATCTTAAACAAGCTTTCTTTATTTGGGAAATGGTAACAGTCTCAGGAAAAGAAACAATATCCAGTCAGGAGCAACTGCATTGCATGATATCCTTTTCAACTGCTAGAGCAGAAAATAGCTCTATCCCAGGTGAATTTAAACACTACCCTCAAGAGTCAATTTGAGGGCATGATGAATGATTTTATGAACTTCTGGTAAAACAGACAGAAATTTGCTGCAAAATTCTGGATTGTATTAGATACTTTTTGGCCTGTACTACCAAATTTATACCAGTCAGTTAATTTAATTGTTAAGCCCTAAGACAGGGGAAAGAGTTTAAATACAGTCAGACAGGCAAAATCAAGTGAGAATTTAAGTAACTAGCCATCAAGTCATTTTCTAAAATGACTTTCAGAGAGCAAGAAAAATGGTACTACATAAGGGCATTTCAGAGGCTATTTCTTTAAATGGAGACTAAACAAAGATTCAAATTGTTAAAAAAAAGTAAAGGTTAAGTATTTATGATGATAGCCAATGTTTAACCAATTCATGACTTTGAAATGCTCTGGAAACAGAGATGTTCTTAACTTCCTCAGGAATCCCAATAAAAAACCAACAGAGCATACATAAATTATCTGATGCCTTAAAGTTGCATACTGAAAAATGTTACAAGCATAAGAGAGAGAGAACAGAATTATACAGTCAAGTACAGTCACAACTAACCACATGACTATCTCAATTTAAATTAACTAAACCTAAGTAAACTTTAAAATTCAGTTTCTCAGTCACCCTACACACATTTCAAGTTTTCAGTAGTCACATGTGGCTATCCTATTGGACAATGCAGATAATCAGCACAGCAGAAAATGTTATCAGACAGCTAGAAGAAACACATTATTACATCATCATGCTAAACAAATTGCCATAACTAACATTCTTATGCAAGGATCTCTTATAGAACAGAAAAGCAAATCCACAATGTGGTCCAAAGTTCACCACAGATGCACAAAATGTCATCCTCAATTCCAAAAACGTAATGGGAGTAAATGGATCTTTTGTCCATTTTTTCCAAGGTTTATTTTCAAAAGTGGGGCCAAGTTTAATTTAAAAAAAATAAACATACCATAGATAATCTTTTGATATTTTGTAAATTTAGAAAGCTTTTGAGAGAAAATCAGGCTTAAGTCGAAATCTAAAGTCGTATGATCCATTATATACATAAAATAAAATACTTGACTAAGTTGATAAAATATTAAGGTGCTTTATAAAAGAAGTAATTCCATGTACAGGCTAGAAGTTGATTAAGGTATACCTAACTTCTCAAATAAGAAAGAGATTTTAATAGTTCATCTATAAGAGCATGTCTGAAATACTTGCACTGAGATCTCTCTGATAGCAACACTGAGCTACTATCTGTACATACATCACTGAAAAAAATTATCCTCTTCGCTTTTCTCTTTCTCCAGTCCAGCAAGATCGGTCTATGTGCATATGACAACAACAATTTTTCATTTAAAATGGGAAAGGGAGAGAAATGAGACATGGGAAGACTTTATCTCAATTCAATTTCTCTAAAAATGTTTAAATACCTTTTACCTCCACAAATTTTTCCTCCATCCTAGTATTCAGTATCCCTCTTTCTGCTCCTGTCACAACTCTTTGACTCTCAAACACAAAACAACTTTTGTTTACCTTCTTACATTTTGTGTTGTACTTGACTCACCCAAAATCACGGTTCGAGAAATCTTTCCTTCGCCTGACTTCTAAACTCAAGTTTCTGCCTAATTAAATAAGCCATATTTATTGACCCAAAGATGTACTAGTATAATTTTTTAATATTTTTTAAATGTTCACAATTTCGTTCTTTCAATTATTATTTATTAGACATGATTATTTATTTGTAATTTATTTCAGTGCCCTTATGCATTGTTCTACTAATAGTAATAAATAAAAATAATTTTGTTAATATATTTTACATTGCTAGTCTATATTTGGTGTAACACAAATCAATTCTTGCAAATGTAAAACTATTATCATTCTGAGTTTGTTCATGCAATTTTCACTCAAAAACATGGCTATATTTTATAAAAGTAATTCCCTTGTTTATACCTGATCTGAATCAAACTACATGTCCCTCCTTAAAAATTTTCTCTAACTAGTTTGTTATTTATAGCAGCCCATTTACTATGTATTTATATATTTCCTAATTGTTATCCTGATAGCACTTTAAAACTCTACAGTTATCCTTTTATGTATCATAGGATCATAGTTTAAGGTCACATAAAAGGTGAACTGCTTGCTTATTAATTATCACCACTCAACTATGCATATTCAAGCTATTTTGTGATTGTACTTCTGAACATAAAAATGGTAGTATGAACTTACCAAAGACTTGTATTTCTTTTCAAGAAGTCTTAGTACTGCAGTTCTGCTATAATGTGCATGCTAAAATTAAGAGAAAATAATATTCAATTTAATATTCAAGCTATGTACATCAAAATCTATTCTTCCTGCATTATTTCCAATAACATTATAAATCACACAATAGGTTAGGCTTAAATAATTATAATAAATGCCAAACTAGCTTTTCTGTGTACATTGGATTAGGAGCATAGCAATCACAAGAATACAAATAATATTTAGAAACTTCTGGATCATTTAGTGCTGAACAAATGTGTTTGTTCTGTCCATCAATTTCCATGCTAAGCTATTTTAATATCACCACCAAAAAAAAGAGTATATCTATCAATGTACAAAAGAATCAAAAGAAAAGACACATGAGTGGCCAAAACAAAAAAAATCACAACTCTAATACTGAAGAGGATACTGTACTGTCTACACATGCAAAAAAATTGCTAAGGATGAAATGCTCTGCAAGAACAATATCCTAATCATTTTCTGTCAATCACATTTAAAAGTGATTCAAAGTACCAAAAAAGCTTTAATTCTCTCCTGAATATAAGTGGAATTAAAACATGCAAACGCATAGCATTGTACAAAACCAGGGAAAACTACAAATGGTATTTAGCTAAACTATGATATCATTAGTGTTCAACATTTAGCTTCTTCATTTTACTAAAGAATAATTAAAGTACTAAACAGAATAATAGTCAGTAAAAATTCTACCAGCATTGTGGGGAAGAGAGTTTTGTCTTTTCAGTTTGATTTTTTAAATTTGTTTTGTTTTTTGTTGTTATTTTTTAGCTTTGTGGGGTACATGTGAAGGATTCACTACAGAAGGAAACCACACGAAGGCGAGGTTTGGGCTTCCAGGGAGCCCTCTTCCCCACTAGTAGTGGACGTGGTACCCAATGGGTGGTTGTGTGTCCCTTATCCCCCCGCTTCAGCAATGCCCAGCTCCTGTTCTTCCTGCTTCTCTGCCCACATGCCCAATGTACAGTGTCCATTTATGAGTGAGAACATGCAGTATTCAGTTTTTTGTTTCTGTGATAGCTCACTTAGAACAGTGATCTTCAGCTGCATCCATGGTGCTGCAAAGGATATGATTTTGTCCTTCTTTATGGTTGCATAGTATTCTGCATATGTGTACCATATTTGCTTTATCCAGTCCGCCTTTGATGAGTATCTGTGTTGGTTCCATGTCTTTGCTATTGTGAGTAGTGCTGCAATAAACACAGGCATGCGGTTTCTTTTTGCTAGAGTGATTTATATTCCTCTGGGTATATATCCCAAGAGAGAGATTAATGGGTCAGATGGTTGCTCAAATTCTAATCCTTGAAAAATCACCACACTGCTTTCCACAAAGGTTGAACTAGCAACAGTGTGGGCACCTTCCCTTTTCTCTGCAGCCTCACCAACACCTGCTGTTTTTTGACTTTTTAATGATTGCCATCCTGACCTGACTGGTTTGGGGAGGGTATTTCATTGGAGTTTTGATTTGCCTTTCTCTGATGATTGGTGATGCTGAGCATTTTTTCATACGTCTGTTGGCTACTTATATGTCTGCCTTTGAGAAGTGTCTGCATGTCCTTCGCTCACTTTTTAATGGGGTTATTAGGTTTTTTTTTTCCTATCAATTAGTTTGACTTCCTTAAAGATCCTGAACCGTAGGCCTTTGTCAGATGCAAAGCATGCAAATATTGTTTCCCATTCTGTGGGTTGTCACTTTGCTCTCTTGATGGTCATTTTGCTGTGCAAAAACTTTATGGCCTGAAAAGGTCTCATCTGTCACTTTTAGATTTTGCTACATTTAGATTTTGTCATGAGTTCATTGCCTAAGCCAGTGTCCAGGAAGGTTTCCTTAACTTTTCTCTAAGATTCTAACAGCTTGAGTTTTCACACTTACATCATAGATCCATTTTGAGTTCAATTTTGTATATGGCTCTCAGCCTGCTTGTTGGTAGTATACAGATATGCAACCGATTTTTGTGCATTGATTTTGTGCCCCAAGATTTTATCAAAGTTGTTTATCATTCAGGGTTTTTTGTTTTGTTTTTTTTTTTAGTTGGAGTCTCATTCTGTCGCCCAGACGAGTGCAGTGGCCGCTCCCGGCCACCGCAGCCTCGACCTGCTGGGCTCTGGTGATCCTTCCACCTCAGCCTTCCAAGGAGCTGGAACTACAGGCATGCGCTACCACGCCCAGCTAATTTTTTGATTTTATTGTAGAGATGAGGTCTCACCTGCCCAGGCAGGTCTCGAACCCGCGGGCTCAGGCAATCCACTCACCTCAGCCTCCCAAAGGCACAGGATTACAGGCTGAGTCACCGAGCCCGGCTTAGTGCAGGGTTTTTGACAGACTTTCTAGCGTTTTCTATATATAGAATCATATCATCGGCGAGGAGGGATTTTACTTCCACTCTTCCTGTTTAAACACCCCTGATTCCCTTCTCCTGCCTGATTGCTCTGGATAGGACTTCCAGTAATAGGAGGAGTGAGAGTGGGCATCTTTGTTTTGATCCAACTTCTGCTCATTAAGTAGGATGTTGGCTGTAGGTTTGTCACAGATGGCTCTTACTATTTTTAGGAATGTTCCTTAGATGCCTAGGTGTCTGAAAGCTTTTATCAAGAAGGGATGTTGGATTTTATCAATTTCTTTTTCTGCATCTATTGAGACGATTATGTGGTTCTTGGTTGTACACCTGTTTACATGGTAGATTACATTTATTGATGTGCGTGTGTTGAGCAAGCCTTGTATCCTGGGACTGAAGCCCACCTGATCATAATGGATGATTCTTGTAATGTGCTATTGGATGCCAACTCTAGAATCCTATTGATAATTTCTGCTTCTGTTCATCAAGGAAATTTGCCTGAGATTTTCTTTCCTTGTTGGATGTTTCCCATTTTGGGGTATCGGGATGACACGGCCTTCACAGAATGAGCTAGGGAGAAGTCCTTCCTTCTCAATTGTTTGGAATACTTTTCAAGGACTGGAGTCAGCTCTTTCTTGTATACCTTATAGAATTCAGCTGAGAAACCATGTGGCACTGGGCTTTTTTTGGCAGGGAGGTTTCTTATTACAGAGTTGATTTCTTGGATTGTTATTGGTCTATTGGTATCAACTTCATCCTGTTTCAATTTTGAGAAGTTATGTGATACCAGGAATTTCTCTATTTTCTCTAGATTTTCTGGCTTACTCGCATACAGATGGTTCATAGTACCCTCTGATAATCTTTTGTATTTCTTCAGGGTCAGTTGTAACATCACCTTTTTTGTTTCTAATTGTGTTTATTTAAATTTTCTCTTTTTGTTGTTGTTGTTGTTAATCTGGTCATAGGTCTGTTCAACTTATTTATCCTTTCAAAGAACCAGTTTCTTGTCTTTTTGATTCTTTCATGATCTATCTTGGTCCCTATTTCATTTAGCTGTGATTTTATTTTTATAATTCCCATTGTTCTACTGGTTCAGACCAGACCTCACTTTGGAAATGACGTTTTATCGGAACACAGTAAAATCCACTCACTTACATATTATCTACGAATGGTCTGGAGCAACAACAGAGTGCCTGCAACAGACACTCTACAGCCACAAAGCCAGAAAATTTTGCCATCTGGCGCTTGACATGAAAAGTTTGCCAACAAACAAAAAAAGTATAGGAAAACATGATGAATTTTCACAAATACTAGGACACAGTTGGAAATATTATTTTAAATAACTTTCTGCCTCATTCTCTTAAGAATCAAAAATGGCAATAAAAACATTAAGTGAAAGAAGTTAATTACCAAGTTAGTAGAATATTACTTCAGTGTTTTAAAAGATCTAAACAGATAAATATAAAAGTATATATAATAAACCTACAGAAAACAATGTTAATAGTCATTTTCCCTATATTGTATAGTTAGAAAAATTTAATTTTATTTAAGATTTTACATATTTTGCATATTTTCTCTAATAATGGTATAATTTGATAATCAAGAAAAAAATGTTAGGTATCAGATGTGAGAAACAAAGGGTTAATGTAAAATTAATTTAATTGAGCAAACATATATCACATACCACATAGGCCAGGTAAAACTAAACACTGGAGACAAAATTGTGTTCTGGTGAACTGGGCATTTACCACACAGCTTAGATAGTAAAGGCACCACCAACTAGGAATGTTTTCAGAAATGTATCCAAAGCCAGACAAAAACAAGTACTGATCCTTATGTACCACCACATCTACTTAAAATCTTTAAAGCTTTAACACTTAAAAAGAAAATCAAGACTTTGAATGGCTCATTCCCTTAAACAGATTCAAATGAATTACTATCTAAAACCCTATTTTGGATCTGCTATTTAATAGGTAAACAATCTTGAGCAAGTTGACTTCTCCCTGCCTCAGTTCTGCATCTGAAAGATGGGACATTAATACCACCTACCTCATAAACTGAGTTAACACATGTAAAAGCGATTCAACTCTTAGCACACAGTAAACACTTCAACACTGCCTATTCTTTCAAATAATACAGCAATGCACTTAAAGATATAAAAACATTCTATTTTTCCTTACCATCCACTTTTTGAACCATACAGCCTTGGTATCAACTAATGCAAAAAAGTAGATTGGATCCAAAATCTTTTGTGAGACAAGATGGCTTTGATGATGCTTAACTGATAACAAGGACAAAGTACTTTCCACAATTTCTTCCATATATCTTAAAGTTTGGGGGAAAAAGATGATTTTTTTAAAACACAAATGCTATTATATATACAGTACTGGTGATATACTTTATAATTACAGAACAATAAAGTGGTATATTATCTTTAATCTTTTTATATTTCAGTAAATGGTAGAGGTGGGATTCACATTCAATTTTTCTGCTTTAAAAACTTACGTTCTTTCTATTTCAACACTAAATCTCCAAATATAAGTGTCTTTTTAGACTCCCAGATGTTCAAACAACCTTATTAAAAATTCTAGAACTAGCCAGGCTCGGTGGCTCAGCCTGTAATCCCGCGCCTTTGGGAGGCTGAGGTGAGTGGATTGCCTGAGCCCGCGGGTTCGAGACCCGCCTGGGCAGCGAGACCTCATCTCTACAATAAATCAAAAAATCAGCCGGGCATGGTAGCGCATGCCTGTAATTCCAGCTACTTGGAAGGCTGAGGCGGAAGGATCGCCGGAGCCCAGCAGGCGAGGTTGTGGTGGCCGGGAGCGGCCACTGCACTCCAGTCTGGGCGACAGAGTGAGACTCCAACTCAAAAAAAAAAAAAAAAAAATTCTAGAACTGAAAGGAAAACATTTAAAGAAGATTTAAGAAACTTGTCCAAAGTAACAAAGACCAGTAAGACCCTATATCTATAAATCCCTTTTTTATCTTGTAATAAATTGTGTAAAATGGTAGTTTTATAAGTACAAAAACATGACAAGCTTAAAAAAGAAAAACTTTATTAATCCCTTCCCAGTCACCTAAGCCAACTAAACCATCTCTATTCTTTCCCTCTGAAATGTACAGGGGGCAGTTACACTTCTATGTTTTACATTGGCATAAGTTAGGGAGCTTACTTCTCTGGATGACGAATCCAGAAAGATGGAGCCTCTTTCTGATATTCATTTAGAAGACGAACCTACAAAACCACATACAAAAGTTCTCAAAAATTATAATTCTTAGATATAAAACTACTTAAATAAAATAAAAGCATATTTTAGCAAATAGATACCTTTTTAAGTAACCGGATCACATGAGGATTAGTTATATCTACACCAGCTGAAAGAGTAGGAATATGATTTTCTCTAGAAAGAAAGTGTAACTCCAAATGTTTAGCTGGGAAAAAAAGCATAAATATAAAACTATTACGCCATTTATTTACAGTGCTTTCTGAAAAAAGGTATTTCTTACCCATTTTTCTTAAGTACATAAAAGAAAGAAAAAACGTTTTAACATGATTTAATACACATACCTAAGCTTGTATAAATCTCCTTGGTCATATGTAATGGTGAAAGCGTAAATGTCTGTGCATAGAATTTTAAAATCCGGTCCTGTGGAAACGAGATAGAAGATCTGCACCTAAGTCTGTTACATGAATGGAATACAGACAAAACATTTTTTCACATAGTAAACACTCAGAAAATAAAGAACAACATTCAGAAACTTGAGTAGGAATGCACTAAAAGGGCACATTCTTGTATTGGTCAGCAACACGTAAATTTGGCCAAAACTAACAGTGACTCTAATAACAGAGACATATTGTTGCAAAATCTGGGAAGAGTGGGTCCTAACATGAGGAGGAGGTTTGACAGATGAAGGGAAAATGTAAAGGTGCAATAACCATTATTAAGTTTTTTTTAAATATGCATTTTGAAATCTAAGATGTATCTTTTTTAATTGCTTACATGGGTTGTTTCAGTAATGAGACATTTAGGATTCTTTCTAATAATTTTGCCTATTCCCAAGAAAAATACTACATACTATATTTAAAAGTTTATACTGTTAATACTCAAAGTAGAAAGTATCACAAGGCAACTACATTCCATGAAGTAAAAGACTAGTTAGAATAGGGTCTGGCACAAGTAGGTACTTAAAAATAGTAGCTATTATCATTTTAATTAAACTAACTTCAATGACATGATGATATTAATCCTCATAGCTAAATAGAACTTTTAATTAAATAAAAACATAAGGTTGCCTTAAATTTTCTAATCTGGGGGAAAAAAATTAATAACCCTGCTCTTATCACTTAGGATAATCTGCTTGCACATAATAGTTCCCCAAGTGACTAAAGATATCTTCCAATAACCCAAAGAAATTCCTACTGAACACAGGATATTAAATACTTTGAGAAGTCTAGTTTCATAGTTGCAGCAATTGATAAGTATCTGTCACACTTTTCCCACTATAGGCTTCACTCAGTTACATGTAAGAGTCCTTTAGAAGATGAAGAAACAGAATCAAACTCAAAAAAAAAAAATGGATCAAGCATAAATTTAAAATGAAAAAACTCCTTGCTTTGTTTGCTACTTCAAAATGACTGATTATATTACCATTTTTTCCTCTATAACAACAGCTTTCAATTTTATTAACTTGAGCAATAAAGCAGACTCTTGCTGCATAATAATCTACAATGGCTAAATAAAGCAACTTATATGGTATGGTAGTGCATGCCATTAGGAATTTGATTATTTTATAAAGATATTACATAAGCTCTATAATTTTAAAAAAAAAAAACCTATTCAGCCACTATTCTTTCTTTTTTAAGGGGAAAAAATACAGAGAAATTTAACAATTGGATTTCTTGTTAGAGAGCATTGAAAAATTAAAGGTGACCCTGAAATATCTTTTTTCCCCTACAAGTTCTTAGATGACTGAGTTTCTATAGAAGTCTACAATACCCTCTGGTGTTAATAACATTGAACTGCATCCAAGCATTATGTAAACACCTCCTTCCCCTAATAAGAATAACAAATAATGGTTCCCAAACCACTCCTGTTTACTAGTATAATCAGACCTGCACTGATGATAGACTGTGATTTTAAACAGACAAATGTATTGAGACGTCTTATATTTTTCTGTAACTATTTACTGTCTGTGTTCTCTACTGAAATCTAAGTTCCATGAGGGCAAAGACTTTTCTGTCATGTTCATGATGTGTTTCCAGTGTCTAAACTACCATGATGCAACACATACAGTAAGTATTCAATACATATTTGTTGAACATATAACAAAATGTAACCCTTCTGATAATGCCTTAAATTCTATGCAAAATACTGTATCAATTTTAAAGCCAAAATGTTCTTCATGATATATCAATTAGGAACAAAATATCCAATCTGGAGGCTCAAACTTTACCTGTACAATGTCCACTTGTAAACCTAATCCTGAGTTGTAACCCATATCTTTAAAATAAAAAATATTTTTTAAAAATCCAATCTGTATTTAAAATGTGATGCTTGGGTACAGTCAGGTCTTCGTTTCATTCATATCACAGACACTATCTGTAGAATTATTGTACCTGTTAAAATAAGCTTATTTTTCATCATAAACTGCTCCTGGAGTCATATGCAATCCATTTTTACAAAAAATCATATCTGCACTGATTTCATAATTTTACAATTTTAGAAATATTCTGTATTAGTTTCATGAATTACCTCAAATTATTTTCTAACCTCTTAGCTTTACAGTTTTCTAGCTTTTTTCTTTACGTAGTTAAGCAGTTTCTAAATAAACACTTAAATGCATGAGAAAAATGTTTATGAACCCTTTAGAATAAATCTTAATTCATCATTTTAAGTTCAAATTTTCATATATCATAAATTATTTTTAAATAGTTTTCCTCTTAATTCAAAAACAGTAACATAGGCTGGGCGTCATATCTCATTCCTGTAAACCCAGCACTTTGGGAAGCTGAGGTGAGAGAATTGTCCGAGCCCAGGAGTTCGAGACCAGCCTGGGCAACATGAGGAGTCTTCGTCTCTATAATAAGTAAAAAAATTAGCCAGGTATGGTAGTGCATGCCTGTATTCCCAGCTACTTGGAAGGTTGAGGTGGAAGGATCGTCTCAGTAGGTCAAGGCTAAGATAGCCATGATTGTGCCTCTGCACTCCTGCCTGAGCAAAAGTGTGACTCTGACTCAAAAAAAAAAAAAAGTGACACAAATACTTAGATATCTCCTCACAAAATAAAATGAAATGCCCAATCTAACAGTCTATTATTTTGCAATGAAATATGATCTGACCATACTTTCAATGTAATCATAAAAGAGTTCATTCCTTTTAAAAAATGTTTTGACAATTCAAAACCTGAAACTGAAGCTCCATCAATAATTGAGCTGCCATTAAAGAAAATTATCATATTCTACTTATTTCTACAATTATGAGAAACAAGAAATTATCTGTGATATTTCTATCACCATCTCCTTACACTAAACACAGGATCAGGATCAGAGAGAGACACTGCCAGCTTTTCGCAGAGAGTGGTCCAGTTTTCACAGTTCAGGACATCAGATGGAGGAGCGGAACACAATGCTTGCAAGGCTTCGTATCTCACCTATAATTGTTTTACAGATTTTTATTAATACTCAGTCACTAGAATAATATAAATTTCTTCAAAACAATATTTAACAAACTATTGAACGGTATAGTCTAAATAACTGTGGTAAAGAGCTATTTGTCAGATATCTGTTTATAAAGCAACTCTTGAGAAATTTTGTTGTCTGTTTTTTTACTGACAGGGTCTTGCTCTGTTGCTCAATCATTGTACAGGGGCGCAAGCATAGCTCACTGCAGCCTCAAACTCTTGAGCTCAAGTGATCCTCCTACCTCAGCCTTCTGAGTAGCTAGGAACTACAAATGCATGCCACCATACCCAGCAATTTTTTTTTTTAAAGATGGGGTCCTGGTCTCAAGGGATCCTTCCATCTCAGCTTCCTAAAGTGTGGGATTATACGTGTGAGACATTGTGCCCTGCCAAGAAATCACTTTAAAAATATTTTCAAGTGTCCTTGTCCTACAGACTCTGCATTCTAGTAAGCCCCCATACTCAGTCCTATAGACTGAGGGCTTTAATTTCAAAACACTACCCAAATATAACCCTGCTGAAGTATTCCCATTCCAAGACGTAGGAACAGTTCTCACAAAACAATTAGCTTGAACTTGTTTTTTGACCTTCTAACTACTGGGGTAAAAAAGTCATTTGGCAGTGGGATGCAAAATTGAATTTCTGTATTTTTCACAGAAGGGTTACTTCCTAATCAGTCTTCTCAAAATGCCTTCAGGATTTACCTGCAATAGTATGACCCAAAGGAAATAGTAGAAAATAACTTTACTCCAAGGATTAATGAAGCGAAGCTTCTTCCCTACTCAATCTCCAACTAGTGAGTAATAACATGCTGATTCCAGCCTCATCCTCAAAATCTGGTCATTTCCCAAATGAAGCCTAATGATTATTAAAAAGGACAGGCATCTCAGACAGGAGCCAAGAGCTAAGAAGTCAGACACTGAATTAGGGTGCCAAATTCTAGATGAAGACAGCCTATACAGGTGTTTGAAAATGTCTATATATTCACACAAAAGAACTCCTAAATACAACTTTCTGATAGGAATTAAGGAAACCACGGAAACAGTTTTAAAAATTAGGAATTCACCGGACACGGTGGCTCACACCTATAATCCCAGCACTTTGGAAGTCAGAGGCCAGAGGATTGCCTGAGTGCAGGGGTTCAAGACCTCTGGACTCAGAGACCTTGGCGGGACCTCATCTCTACAATATATATTTTAAAAAAAATTAGCCAAGAGTGGTAGCACGCACCTGTGGTTCCAACTACTTAGAAAGCCGAGACAGAATGATCTCCTGAGCCCAGCAGGTCAAGGCTGTGGTGGCTGTGAGCATGCCAATGCACTCTAGCCTGGGCAACAGAGCGAAATTACAACTCAAAAAAAAAAAAAAATTAGGAATTCCTTTACAATGTTAAATAATTTTTCCTTTTCAGGAAACTTCCAGGACAAAATCTCATTAAGAATTTACTACTTGCAGAAGCAGAACAGAGGTTTCTAAACAAGTATAGTTATGATCCATTTAAATTGAAGACAACAGGATATTTACCATTAAAAAGTCAAATCTCCTTTCCAAGATATTTTCAAATATGTTATTTAATAAGAACCCAGAAAATAAATTAGAATGCAAAATGCAGAGAGAAAAAAAATTATTCTTCTCTATGACTTTTTAGAAAATTTCAGTGGGAATAATCGCAACTATTCATTTAACTGAAAATAAAAACTTTGAGAAAGGTAAGTTCAAAAATTGAGACCAATGACAAGATATACAAAAGTCTCATACAAAACAACTTCAAAAATTCTATCATTTTTTCTATTTCAGACTGACTTTCAAATGAACAGTGAATTCTATAATCTTTTAAAATATAAAGACACAGTTCAATATAATTGCTTCTTTAAAAATTCATTTTCTAATAAATAAAGCCGGGAACAGTGGCTCATACCTGTAATCCTAGCACTCTGGAAGGTTGAGGATAGAGGGTTGCATGGGCCCAGGAGTTAGACCACTAGGCAACACAGCAAGACCTCATCTCTACAAAATCAAAAAATCAGCCAAGCACGGTACACTCCTGTAGTCCAAGCCACGCGGAAGGCTGAGGTGGAAGGATCACCTGAGCCCAGATGTAGCGGCTACAGTGAGCCATGATGCCACTGCCCTCCAGCCTGGGTAACAGAGTGAGATTTCAATTTAATAATAATAATAATAATAAATAAGACAAAAATACTTTTTCTAATAAAGTGTCAAAGTTGCTCACATGGGGAACATTTGATAGATGTTGGTCAAAGGATATGAAACTTCAATTAGGAAAAATAAATTCAAGTGATCTACTATATTAGGTAACCGTTAATAACAAATAGATCATAACCTTGAAAAATACTAAGAAAGTAGATTTTAAGTTTTTTCACCACGAAAACTGATAATTATTTAAGGCAATGCATGTGTTAACCAGATAAATGTAGTCATTCCTCAATGTATACATACTTTAAAAATATGTTGTACATGATAAATACATACAATTTTGCCTATTTTTGGAAAATTGCTCACATTTTCTACAAGCAGACAAAAATTAAATTAAAATAATTTTCTTAAGAAGTCACTTACTAAAATAGTACATACAAAGCAACAGTGAAGGAACAGTTTTGAGGACCACTGCTCATAACTTTATCCCTTCAAAATTGAGGTTAGAAATAAAAATGTCCTCTTACAAACATGATAATTCTCTAAGGAAAGCCTCCCTCACTCTGTGACCTTTCATTTCAAGACCAACAAGTTCACCAGGGATACCAGTCCAGGACTGTCCACAATAACAAAGGCCTAGCCTCAAGAGAAACTGCCTGTTGCCACTGTTTGAAATCTAGCATATGATAATACATGATATCCAACCAAACTTGACAGCCATCCTTTAAGCTTACCTCTTTAGGTTGCCCAGGATCCAACTGGTCTAAAATCGATTGCAATTTTCCTTGACAAAATTTGTAACTCTGTAACACAATTGGCAGAACATTCATTTATTTAAAAGGCTTTTAGGAGTATTGCTATAACTTATTTTTAATGTAATTCCAAGCACAAAACGCATTCTGGACAAGAGAAGATGTTCTATTTTGACTTGGCAACAACCTGGGGTTTTCGTTTCCCAAGGCTTTAAAACGGGAACCGAATGTCCCAGCAGAAGAGTGTACTTTCATGTATATGAAAACTATCATTACTTGCTGAGCAACTAACTGCAGTACTTAGAACGTTATATAACTCCAAAGACATAAGCCGAAATGCTGTATACTCGGAAATATGATCTGAGTGAAGCAGAGAAAACAAACAGCACAAACAAATAAAAAGGCCACACAGAGGATCCTAGACATAGCTACAGTGCTGATGCTTGAGCTTCTGTTCCCTTTCTTCCCTCGAATTTTCCTTAGCCTTTCTCCATTGTTGTTTCATGGAAAAAAAAATTCCTGAACTAAAAAGTTCCAGCTAAAAAAAAGTTTATAGTAGACCACAAGCTATTTTGGAGAAACCACCAAAGGCAGTTTAAATATGCATAATATCTAAAGACTTATCGAAAGAGAACAAAAATCACAATAATCGTAGCTGTCGCTTATTGGGTATAGATCATGTAGCAAGCTCTATGCTATCTCAGCTCGCAATGACTGAAAAAAGAGAAATAAAAACCAAACGGGTTAAACATCTGCTCCAAATCACACAGCTCTCAGAATGTTCCCGTACGTACCAGAGACCTTCTCTCCTGAAGTGTTCTCATCCAGTTCTTTGACTTTTAAGTATATTATGATGACATAAATTTATATCAGTCACTTGACCTCCAGAGTAAGCCTCTCAACATTTCTTTTTTTTTGAGGAGGAGGAGCCTCGCTCTGTCGCCCAGGCTGGAGCACAGGGGCACACTCACGGCCACCACAGCCTCGACCTGCTAGACTCAGCAATCCGTCTGCCAGCCTTCCAAGTAGCTGGAACCACAGGCACGCACCACCACGTCCAGCTAAGTTTTAGATTTATTGTGAAGACGAGGTCTCACCAAGTTGCCCAGGCGGGTCTCCAACCCCTGGATTCAGGCAATCTTCTGGCCTCTGCCTCCCAAAGTGCTGGGATAACAGGCATGAGCCACCACACCCAGCCTCCTCTCAACATTTCCAACTAAATGTCTCATGGGCATCTCAAACTTTACAGGAAAAAAACAGAACTCTTGACTTTCTTTATTCCAAAGTAGCTCCTTGCTCAGACTTCCTGTCTTGGTATAGTAAATGGCACTACACGATCCATCCAGACTTTGACTGAAGTCAAAAGCAGGAGTCAGTCTTGACCCCTCACTTTCTCTCGTTCCCTACATTCCCTACATCCCTATAAGACAACCCCCAAGTTTCACGTGTCTTCCACCCAACTGCCCATCGCCACTTCTCGGCTGGAACCCCAGCCCCAGCACAGCCACCTCCAGTCCGGACCACCGCTCCTCTCGTCTCATCCTGCCCGCCATCCCTCCTCCCCCAACAGGCAACGCTCAGCAACGCTGGAAGCCAAATCCCTTGACTCGCTCACCTAAGCCCCTCAAAAAGACTTCCCATCTTCCTCAGTTTGTGTCTCTACCTCTCTCCAGCCTCCCCCACATCCGAGCTCTAGTCACACAGCCTTCTTTCCATCCCTAGAAGAGGCCATGCTCACTCCAGACTACGAACCTTTGCCCTTGCCTTTCCCCCAGCCTAGCAAATGCGTGCTCCAGCGTTTGGCATGGCTGCCCTCTGATCACCTGGAACTCGGGTCAGAAGCTGAAATTCACAGACACCAATACCAAAAGTACAAGTTATAAAAAGGAGAGGTTTATTAGCCAAGAGCCAGCCGGCGGCCGCTTGCCTGCTAGACATGCAAGCCCCACAGCAAGGGCCCCCATTGGCTGTCGGGGCTTGCTTCAATGGGGCAAAACCACATGGGGACTTTCTAAGTGGGCCAAACCGCAACATCCTGGAGGCCTAGGTACTTTTCCAGCAATGCTAGTGGGGTTCACAGAAGCCGAAAAAAAAGCTGGTAAACAGTTTAACCTAGCCAGCAGGTGCTGTTGCCAGTTTCCAGGAAGGGAACTTTTTAACTGTGCAAAGGCTGAGTTTATGTTTAGCCTAATTTTTGACACTGTAGATGTCTTTTTAAGCCCCCTTCCACAAAGCCTCCTCGTAAAGGCCTTCCCTGATCACCCCAGAGGAGTCTCTGCAAGCCTCACCAAGCTCTACATCGCTGTCCTGCTTTCTTTATGACATACACGACTGGCAGTAGAGAGTATGGAAGAAATGTGGGAGAAACTTGCAAAAGCATCACTTGACTGCTCACCCCTAGAGCTTGGTCTTTTTCTCTGTAGTGTCCCCAACACCTGCGACAGTGCCCGAAGGCAGGCACTCAGTAGAGATGTGTTCACTATAAGAATAACTAGCAAGTCAGTCTTTCCACCATGTTACACTGTCTTTTTCTAAGAAAACAATAGGGTACACACAGCTACTCCATAACAAATAAATCCAAAACAGCTTGATATTTCACACTGTTCAACATAAATTTTCTAAAAAATCTTTAAAAATGTCCCAAGTTTTACTCCTCTTTAAAATTGTATAGTTTCACTACTGAAAAGAGCATACAAGCTATATTTTTTAAAACTGAAAGTACTTCATGTTTAAGCAGAGCTCTAATTTTGAATTTTCTTTGTGTTGCAGTTAAAACACTCAAATTTATGAATGATAACTACAGAGTAAATGCAAATGCATATGGATGCAGCTGTCTTACTTAGTGGAAAAAAGTACAGAGATGTAGATCATTTATATAGATAGATATCTTACATAGAACACACATAAATACAAGTACCTTTATGCATATATTTGATATATACATGCATGCATATATGTATATATAAGCATATATGCATAATATATGCAGATATATAAAAGTATACATTTATAGTAAAGTATATACATAAACATATGTATATATACTCATATTTATGGATACACAAGCTCCTTTACTTTTTAAAATATTTTTCTTTAGCCTGGCCCTTCTGCCTCCCTTTTGCAAACCTGATTTCTTATCTTCCACCCCACGACTTTTGCCAGACTACTGCATCTAAATGTCTTGCCAACCAACTAATTAAAAAATAAGCATAATGTCAAGGATATGAGTTTTAATAAACAGACTAAGTTCCTAGCTCCCCCTTCTAACTAGCCCCCATGAGTTACATTTAATTTCACCCCCAATTTTCACATCTACATCCTAGCATCACTGTAAGAATTCAGGGGAACAATCAGTAAAGACCTTGGCTTTAGCATTATTGAAATTTAAAAACTTAAAATAAATCTCACGTTTCTCAGTAAATTTTCTATGAGAAAATGTAAAATAAAGAATTTTCTTTTTATTTTAAAGGTGTGAGGCACAATTCAGGGTTGGGTATACATTTGTATACCTAATCCTATGCAGGTACCCTTGTGGATGAGGTGTGCCCCCCCCCTTCCCTGGTAGTTTCCCACTACTGCCAATCCCTTTCTTGTAGTATAAAATAATAAATTTTCTACCTGTCAACTGCAAATTCAAGATAAAGCAATCCAAAAATAAAATTCACTGATGTCCACAGATTTCCATTCTAATCCAGCCTCTTTTCCCATACAGGTGCCATGTTCTACAACAGCCCTGACCAACGGCGAGTCAGCTATTGTCTGAACATTCTCAGTTACAGGGAGTTCACATTTGGTAAGACAACAGATATTATACTAAATAGTCGGCAAAAAAAGGGTTATCTTTACATCTTAACCAAATTCATTTTCTGAAACACTCAAGACAAGACTCCACTTTCCAGTCTCTTCATGCACAATAGCTCAGGCAAGTACTCCTTACTTTCTGAAAATGTCTACTTTTTATTTCACAAAAATTATCAAGGCCAGACAACGTGGTGATTCCTCAACTTCCTTCCTCTTCCCCTGAATATTATTCTGTGGTGAACTGTTGGTCACCAAATCCAAAGATCTTTTCTTAGTTCTCATCTTCTTTGACTTCCCTCTATCACTCAGTATAGCTAATTAACCATCCCTCCTGCTTTGAAGTTTACCTTTCCTCCTAAGCTCCTACTCTGTGCAGTATGCCCTGGTACCTGCTTTTTTTTTTTTTTTTTTTTTAATCTCTTGTCACGCTCTAAAAATGTGTTTCCTAAGGTTTCATCTATTTAAGTGATGCCAGTAAAATGCCTCTGTACAAATGACACACTGTCTTATTCCCAACACTAACCTTTCTACCAAGTGAATCCTGCATTTTCAACTACTTTTTATACCAGTGGCATTCCTTACTGACATTTCAAATTTGTCTAAGAAAATTGAACTCGCCACATTCTTCTCCACACCTAACCCTCCACTCAATCCCAGATATGGTCCATGACACCATCATTTCCAGGCCCCCTGGCTTGAAACCATAGCTAAACCTTTGACTATACCTCCATCTATATCAGCCCCCCCCAAAAAAATAATCGTTGGAAGTCAAATTTAATGATCCTACCACTGTAATAATTCTCACATCAGTCTCTTCCTATTTACTGCTACCAAGGCTTCTCAGCATGGATCATCTTTAATTCTTATTTCAACTACCATGTTATCCTTCTAACTTGTCTCCCGACATCTACTTTTTCCCCATCCAATGCCCTTCTGTACACAACTGTCAGGTTAGTCTCCCTGAGGCATACTTTTCTGTTCAAAAACATAAAGTAACTTCCCTTTACTGATAAGCACAATCCAATTTGGCTTTTCAATACATTACTTTATTCCTAATATGTCTCAAGTAGCTCCTATGTACCTGGCCCCGTGATGTAATAGCCAGGAGCAATAAATAATAATTAAAACTTAACTTTTGCCTTCACTCCATGATCTGACCCTGATCTGCCTCCATTCTACTCCCTACAAACTCTTTGCCCTAACTCTCACATATACACGCATAGGTTCCCGTATATGCTGTATTTTTTGTT